CAGCAAACACAACGCAGGAGGAGGAGGAGGAGGAGGAGGAGGAGTAGGAGGAGGAGGGGGAGGAGGAGTAGGAGGAGGAGGAGGAGTAGGAGGAGGAGGTTCTCACCTGTTCTCGGAACTGCTACGCATGGCTCAAGGCGTGCAGAGCTGCGCAGAGCTGCGGGGGCAGTTTTCGCGCAGGCATGGCGGCGCCCTCGCAGATGGTCCTCCGCGCGCGCGCCAGCATGAGCTTGCTGGCGTCGTTGCGGGGCACGAAAGCCTTCGGCCAGGTCTCGAGAGCGGAGGCTGCCCACTTGACGAGTTTGATCCAGTCCCCTGGGCACGCCGATCGGGACCATATACAGGCGCTCGCAGAGACGATCCGCGCAGCAGGCTTCCATGCGACAGACCAGTCCGATCTTTTGGACGCGGTCGCTGAGCTCGCGGCCGCAGCGCCCGCAGTCCCCGAGATGCCAAGCAAGGGAGGACAGCAGGATTTCGAATCTGCCGTCTTTTTCGTGCCGAAGGCGGTGTGGGACCAGCTGGCCAGGACAGCGAATACCGACGAAGTGTTCGCCTTGTATGGCAAGCTCGGCCTGCGCCAGAAATTCTCCGAGGGGACCATGCACGCGTTGGGGCTCGTCACCCTCTGTGTGACGGAGGGCTTGGATGAAGCCTTGAGGATGGCGCCAGCCACGCGCACTAGTAGCATCAAGCCTATCAAGGCTGCGTACAAGCGCTTCGCCGCCGACCTGCCGAGCCCGCCAGTCTGGGTGGAGAAGTTGCCAAGCAGCCCTGAGGCCCTGAAGGCGCAGCACCCCGAACTCTTCAAGGCTGCGTGCCCAGACGGCCTCGGGGAGATGAAGTTCCCCTTGCCAGTGCGCGTCTTCCGGGAGCTGGTGACAGTCACCAAGATGCGCTTACACGGTTCCTCAAAGAAGAATCCCTCGGTGATGTCCGCGACCCCAATGACTGAGATGGGGCAGGTCGTCAGCATGTTGGGCGAGGCGCTCAAGAGCGTGATCCAGCAGGGCCAGCCGAAAAGCGACATCGGCTTGCGGATGCTCGCGCAGACGCCGAGGAGCAGACCTCACGTGTCACCCGCCCCGCCCTTGGCGATCACAGACAAGGCGTCAGAAGACGCGGCCGAGGAGGTCGACCAGAACGAGGCGGGCCGGGAGCAGCCCGCGGAGCCGAAGAAACAGTTCACAGTGGATGAGGCCACGAAAGCCCTCCTGGCGAAGTCGGGCGCGAAGCGCAAGGCAGGGGGCCCTCCCGCGGCCAAGGGCAAGGGGAAGGCCGAGGCCAAGCCCATGACGGCAGCGAAAGACACCGCCAAGGGCTACAAGGCCACGGCCACAGTGTCCTACTCTCACGAGAAGAGCCGTCAGCAGTTCCTGGGCCGCTGCGGCGAGACCAAGAGCGCCGCGTTCTGCTACAAGGGGAAGAGCAAGAACGCGGTCGAGAGCCAAGTCAAGGCCACTTCGGAAAATTAAAAAATGTAGCACGCGAGTGCGCGGCACTCACGCTCACAGCCCCCCCCCCCAACCCAGCACGAGTGCCACGCATGCGCTCGCGCATTGCACGCGTGGCCCCTTGCGGGCCTGGCGCCGCGAGCAGTGCAAGAAGTTCAAGGCGCCCATCTCGCCGAAGTTCCAGGCCTGAGATGCCCCAGGTCGCACGCTAGCCTGTCGGTCAGGCCAGCGCGGGATGCGCGCAGGAGGGGTCATCCAGAACAAAACGCCTTGCCCCTCCTATAGTTTCCGTTGCTCTCCCTCTGATACTCCCAGCGGTAGGGCCACCGCTACCCCATGCAGCTAGCAACTGCCATGGCAATCAGCGGTCTTCCAACCGCTTTCCCCATGGCAGCGGTCTTCCAACCGCTTTCCCCAGCGGTCTCCCAACCGCGTTTTAAACGCGAAATTCGGGACCCGCGACCCACAAGTGGCAGAAGGAGGAGCAGGAGCAGCAGAAGGACCAGGAGGAGGAGGCGCAGCAGCAGAAGGAGGAGGAGGAGGAGGGTGAGCTGGGGGAGGAGCGGGGGAGGGCAAGCAGGGGGAGTAGCGGGTGGAGGGGCTGCAGCAGAAGGGGGAGGAGAGCAAGCGATGCTGTCTGCAGCCTTTGCGGCCCAAGAGGGCCAGGTGGTCGGACGCGCCCCCCTGGGCTTGCGCCTGCCATGGCGACGCCCGCGCTCAGCTTCGAGGAGCTCCTCGAGGAGCTCGACGCCGCCCAGAGGTCTGGTAGCAGCCCGAGCCAGCAGCCAGCCAGTACGCTTGACGAGATCATGGAGGCGCTGCGGCAGCCAGCTCCAGACAGGGATGCAGCAGGCGGTTCCTCGGCTCGCATGGCTGACCAGTCCGACGAGTCCGACGGCGACGTCCGCCAGTTGCTTGCCGCTCGCCAGGCGGCGCCTGAAGAGCCGAGCCCATGGGCGGTCAGGCCCTCGACGATCGGCAGATCATACAACTTGACGCCCGAAGAATTGGAGAACCTGCGCGCAGAGGAGCGCCTTGCGAGGGCGGGCAACGCGCCTTGGCAGGAGCGCGGGCCAGACCCTGGCTGGGGGATCTCGGCGTGGAGGGGCCAACCCTTGCGTCTTGGCCTGAACGGTGGACAAGTGCGGTACGCGAAGCGGGGGGGCAACAACAAGGAGGTCTACCGCGAGCTCGCGAGGCAGGGGCGGCTCAGGCCCACGCCAGGCGGCACGCGCTCCGCTGGGCACTTGCACCTCTCGAAGGGCAAGGGCGACGGCGAGGCCGCGTTCTGCGAGGGCAGGGGCGACGGCAAGACCAGCGGGGGCAAGAAGGGCGACCAGAGCTCAGGCTCCAAAGGCAAGGGCAAACACAAGGCCTGAGCCGCCTCGGCTTCGGGTCGCGCTCTCCGAGGTCGCTGACCAATCGGATCGCAGCGTGGGGCTGCGCTGCCACAGTCATTGTAAAAATAAGTCGGAGCGCGGCAGAATAAGCGCTTCACCATCCTGACCCTTCTTCAATTGCAATTGTCCCGAAGAGCCGTTTTGGACAATTGAGGTTTCGTGGCGGTTCTTTCCCTCGCCCCACCCTGCAGCGTCAGCGGTTTGCCCGCCGCTTGCCCTTCAGCGGGTTGCCCATTCGATGCAGCGGTCAGCCCACCGCTTGATGCAGCGGTGAGCCCACCGCTTCTCCTTCGGCGCAGCGGTCAGCCCACCGCTTGATTCCGCTTGCGCAGGTGGACAGGGGATGGAATTAATGGGAGGAGGAGGAGGAGAGTGAGGAGGAGGAGGGGGAGGAGGAGGAGGAGGAGGAGGAGGAGGAGGAGGAGGAGGAGGAGGAGAAGGAGGGGGAGGAGGAGGAGAAGGAGGAGGATAACTCAATCTGCCCGCAGGCATTCACACCCCAAGCCGAGCGTTCGCCTTTCGCTTCCAAACCTGAAGCCAGTCTGCCCGCCATGGATGTCGATGACGAGACCTGGGCCTACTATGAGATCGACGCGTGCCCATGCGCATCCGAATGCAACGAGGCCAACTTCAAGAATTGGAAGCCATGGGGCAACACTCCTGAGGAGGCCAAGCAGAAAGTCGTCGACCACTTGCTCCGCTCGGGTGTCCACGCGGAGAACCGCAAGGACATGGCCGAGGACGAGGCGAAGGACTACTTCGCCGCCCTCGTGGAGAGCTGCGAGGTGCACGAGCGCCACTGGAGGCAGAAGAAGAAGAGGAGGACCGCCGACAGCGCCGATTCCTCGTTGCAGGAAGTGCGCGCGGATGCGCAGAGGATGATGCAGACGGGTCCACAGGCCCGTTTCTCCTCCACGCGTCAGGCGCGGCGGGTCAAGCGGAAGCGGCGCGATCGTGCTTGTGCCCCAGCACCAGCGCACCGCGCTGGAGGTCTTCAGCGACTTCGTGGACAACGCTGCGAGGTGCGGCCGCAACGCGAGGAACGCGGCGCGCCTGAGCGAGGCTGCTGCGGGCTCGTTCAACGAGCAGGCCGAGGCGTTCGAGAACGCGGCGAACGACATCATGCTCTTCCTGACGCAGCAGCACCGCGCCGCTAGCAGCCGCCGCGGGGCGCTCTGACCTCGCTTCCAGGGCGCGGGCCGCTTGCTGGGCGACAAGAGCGCGCGATCTGCTTCTCCTCTATTGCAGCGGTTGGCCCACCGCTCATTTCTCCCAGCGGTTGGCCCACCGCTAATTTCTTCCAGCGGTTGCCCCGCCGCTTTCATCCAGCGGTCGGCCTGCCGCTTGTCTTTGGATTTCCAGCGGTTGACCCACCGCTTGTCTTTGGATACTCAGCGGTTGACCCACCGCTTATTGAAAAGGCGGCGCGTTGACCAAGATTTGACTCGAGACTTTGGTTCGAGGCTTGTTGGAAGAAGTTTGAAAATGAAAAACTTTCACGCTGAAAGTTCCCTGGCGCATGTTTTGTTGGAAAACGACCGCCCCGAAACTAACAGAAGCTAACTGGAAATAATTGTTATTTCCTGATGTTTTCTGCTATTTCTTGTTATTTCCCAGGAACTAACAGGAAATAACAGGACATAGCAGCTATTTCCTGCTAGTTTCTGGTATATCACGACCCTTGATTTTCATTGCGTTTTGTTTCATGTTCGCCAGCCGCGGCCCGCGTCTTCTCAAGCAGGCAAGTAGTTCGGGCCCGACCCCCCCGCGTCGAAACTCGAAGATGTCGACGACGAGGCAGACTGGCCTGAGCGCCTGGTGGCCTCACGCTCCGCCTCCGCCTCCGCCCGACCCCAAGAAGAAGGCCAGCGCCAAGTGCGCCGGGCGCGAGCCCGCCGACAGCCCCGACGCCCCGTGCAAGCACGCCACGCACGAGGCCGCCGACAGCCTCGACGCCGTCGAGCCCGCCAAGCACAAGCACGCCAAGCGCGAGGCTGGGGCCGAGCTCGACGCCCCGCGCGAGCAGGCCGAGGCCGCGGCCGTGGTCGAATGGCCCGAGGGCGAGGGCGAGGCCGAGGCCGCGGTCGAGGCCGATGCCGAGGCCGACGCGGTGCCCAAGGCGCCTGCTCCCCCAGCCCCTCGCGAGGCGACGCCGGCGCGGCCGCCCGCCGATGAGCCGCTCCAGAGCGCTCCGCCGAAGCAGCTCGAGAGCCAGGGCTGGGACGGCAAGGCGCTCGTCGCCCCGCCGCAGCAGCCGTCCTGCAAGTTCTGCCGCACGTTCCTGGACCCGTTTGCCAAGGGCGTGCGCCTCCTCAGGAAGAGCCCCCAGGTGTTCTGTTGCGGAACGTGCAACAGCAAAACCACGACCCTCGCGGAGGTGTTCGGCCACTGGCCGATCGACGAGTTCAAGGGGCTCTCGGCCGAGGAGCAGAGTGCCTTCTTCCAGACGCGCGGGACTGGCCAGGACAGCATCAAGAAGGCAGTCCACGAGCAAGTCATGAAGAAGTGGGCGCACCAGAAGACCAACAAGGTCGCTGGCGATTTCATGCCCGAGTGGTACTGGCGCAACCAGGGCATGCCAGAGGAGACGATCCAAAGGATGAAGGCCCTGGCCCCAGGGGAAGATCACCCCATCTTCGGAGACACGTTCCAGGTCATGATCCATGGGGCTTCCGAGTCTGCGACGGAGGAGCTTGCGAGGCAGCAGCTGCTCTCGGCGGCTACTCGGAAGGGGAAGGGCACCGCCGCAGCGGGCAGCGCTGCCGCGGGCAGCGGCAGCGCTACTGGCGAGACCGCCGCCGCCGAGGAGCCTGCGGCCGCGCCTGCGCCAGCACCAAAGGAGACGTCCTTTTCTTCGGCTTCCGACTCGGAGTCCAGCTCGAGCGAGAGCAAGAAAAAGAAGCACATTAACAACAAGAAGAAGTAGAATGACAAAAAGAGGAGCAGCGCGAGAAGTTGAGGAAGAAGAAGCATGAGAAGGCCAGGGAGAAGGATAAGAGAGCGACGGAGAAGGAAGATAAAGACAAGCAGCGAAAGGAGAAGGCTGCTAAGGCCGCGGCCGAAAAGGAGGAGAAGAGGGCGAGGCGCCAGACGCAGAGCGACGCCGCCAAGGCGCTCGCGAAGGTTTCCCCCCTCGCGTCCTCGCTCGACACGGCCCTCAGCCACAGCATGATCAACGAAGTTCCGAAGTTCGTGGCCAAGACCGCGAAGGAGGCGCTGGCCATCCTCAAGAAGTACGCCCAGGAGGCCGAAGAGGCCATCAAGACGCACAATCCGCAACCGCTGTCGTTCAAGCTCGACGAGCTCATCAGCAAAACGAAGGACGCGCAGGACTCCCACGACAAGCTCTTCAACGTCCTGAAGAGCGTGGAGCAGGCCGCGAAGTGAGTGGGGGCACCTTCAGGGCCATGGCCAGGCTTGGGGCTCGTGCGCTTAGGCGCGCGGCTCTGCGACCCGCCATGTTGAGTTCGGTTGAATATTCGCATTCCTCTTGTTGCCGAGCGGTAAGCCAACCGCTACTCCCCAGCGGTAGAACCACCGCTTCCTTTTCCCCCCCATTCCCAGCGGTAGACCCACCGCTCCCTTTTCCCCGTATTCCCAGCGGTAGACCCACCGCTTACTTTCCAGCTCCAGCGGTAAACCCACCGCTCGCTTCCGAAACCTCTTGGCAGCTTTTCGGAGCTTTGTGGTCCCACTCGGAACCCGCGCGAGCCCCCTCGGGGCTCCAAGGGGCCATTTTCGAATCAGGGACCTCGCATTCAACTACAAAGTTATTTGTATTTTTCGGCGCCGATGCGAACCGATTCCAGCTACCCTTTTGATTTCCAAGCTATACTTGTATTTTCAATGTACACTTTGATTTTCAAGATTCACTTTGAGATTTAAGTTACGCTTTGAGTTTCAAGATGCCCGTTGGTTTCCGATTTACTTTTGATTTCAAGATACGCTTTGATTTGCAAGCAACACTTGCATTTTCAAGATGCGTTTTGAGAAGTCCTGTCATATCATCCCTTTGCCCTTGTTGCCATATCCCCTCCCCCCTCCTCGCGCTGCCGACGCGCGCCCGACTCGCCTGCCGCGCCCCCGCGACCGACGCGCCCGCAGCCACTCGTGGCTCTAGGGGCCCGCGACGCGACGCGCCCGCGCCCGCAGGGAGCCGCAGATGGCAGAATCGAAACTTGCAAAAATCAGGAGGCTCTTTGCTGGCGCAGGATTGCCGAGGAACCATGCGCAACTCTCGGGGCTACTGCAGAGATTGCGAACCGCTGACGAAGCTGACAGGGAGGCTGCTCTTGCCTGCAATCGCGGCCACCTGCAGCGGGCCCTCGACGATCTGTGGAAACAAACGTGCCAGCAGGAACATTTCGAATGCACGGCACACGCACGGGGCATGGAACTCGGCGCCACGCTCTCGTTGCCTGAAGTTCTGCAGCTCGCAGCCCGCACTGCGCCAGGGTACGCCTCCCTCCTGAACGAGTTGTGGCGGCAACGCCCTTGCACTGTCAAGTCGCCCTACCACCTCGTGTGTTACGCAGATGCATTCGTGCCAGGCAATGTCCTTAGGCAGGACAACCGAAGAAAGTGTTTCGGCATGTTCGTGACTATCAGAGAGTTCGGCCCCCACAGCACCAAGCATGTTGAAGCCTGGTTGCCAGTCATTTGCGTCCGATCCACTCTGGTGAAACAGATCAAGGGGGGGGGGCCTCGAATGTAGTCAGAACATTTTTGCGACGAATGTTCATGGAAGATGAAATTTCTAGAAAGGGTGTGTTGGTACAGCTGGACGCGGCCGCCTCTGGAACAGCAGCTATGTATTTCAAACTCGGCAACATGGTCCTTGACGGCGACGCCGCCAGGATTGTATTTTTGCAGCTTGGGGCGAATGCCAATTTGCAGTGCATTAATTGTCTCAACGTACTGCAGCTACGCGGCGATTCTGTTGGAATGCCACGGGGGTTCGTTGGTCTTCGCTGCTCGGACCCATCTTTGTTTTCGCGCGCCAGTGACGGTGACATCTGGCAGAAGGCTGACGAGGTTCTTGCGCTGGCACCAAGACATCTGCAGGCTGGGCAAACAGCTCGAGGAATTAAGCGCGTCCCTTTGGGTGTGATTTTCGATCGCGAGCTCAGACCCCATTGTCCGCCGATACGGACATACACCCACGACGCCATGCACATCTTGAACGGTATGGCATGCTTAGAGATGTCTTTGATTTTGGTAGCAATGTTTCGGCACAACTGGCTTTCATGGAGCGGCGTACGCATGTGGATGGAATCACATTGGCAATTTTGCCGCGCTTTCTCAGGGGCGTCTTCGGAACTCAACGCGGCATGGAACGACGCTCGGCAGAAAGCTTTCCAGAAGAACAAAGAGTTTAAAGCTGGGGCGTCCGAGCTGATCATGATCATCCCGCTCTTCAATTTGTTTTGCATTGCGTGGTGAAGCCCTGTGGTATTTTAGATAAAGAGAGCCGTAGTTTCAATTCTCTTGCGCTGATTTGTGGGTTTATCAAGCATGGCAAATTTGGCAGGGACGTCAGCTCCACTGCGAGTGGCCTCGGCGCGATGTTCGCAGAGCACGCCGAAGCATTCAATGACGCTTATCCTGAAGGTGAAGTCATTCCTAAAGCGCACTGGGGCTTCCACCTTGCGCACCAGTTACGCCGAGATGGGTGCAGCATCGATTGCTTCGTGGGCGAACGCCAGAATTGTATCATGAAGAATTGCGCCCAGTCTGTTAAACATACGAGATCGTTGGAAAAATCTATTCTGAGTCGCGTGCTGGCCGATCGGCTTGGAGCCCTGGCCGATCCTGTTTTTTTTTCGGACCGATTGCACAAACCAGAGAGCTCACCGACATTGGCCAGAGCGGCGGGCGTTTCGTCCGCCTTCATGAGCGCTTCTATGGCATTTCGCGTGACAACCCTCGTTGCTGGAGACGCTGTCTGGTGCGACGGCGTTGTTTGCATGGTGGCTGGCTGCGCCTTTCTGGACACCGCGCCCGTCATTTTCGTCAACGAGATGGTATTTGTTGAGCAGCTGTCGCCAGCCGCTTCTCGCTGGAGGAGCGCGCCAGGAGATTGTTATTCTCTGGTGCTATCAGCCGACTGCGACGTGATCTTGTCGGCAGGCTTTTCCTGGGATGGAGATGGTGTAGTCGTCCTTGCATGGTGATGCGCTGAAAAAAAAAAAAAAAAAAAAACATCATCCTTGCGCTGGAAAAAACATCATCATTGTCCTTTCTCCTCCCTGCAGCGGTGGGGCTACCGCTTGCCAGCGGTTGGCTTACCGCTACTTGCTTGCATAGCGGTTGGTCTACCGCTCCTCCCGCCCCTCCTCCTTTTCCCGCCCCCCCTCTTCCCCTCCCCCTCCCCCTCCTCCCTCTCCAGCCCTCCCCCTCCCCTTCCGAAATAGTGAAACATAGCGGCACTATTTGCTTTATTTTAACATGGCTAAACACAATATTTTATGTTATGACTTCCGAATAAAATATTAAATAAAGTATTACATTAAGCTAGATAAGAGATCAAATAATCATGCTATTCGTTGTGCATATCCATTATAACATAGATAACTGCAGCAGGGGGGGGCGATCATTGCAGCACACCGCTCCCTGCCGCGCCCCCCCCCCCCCCCCCGGGGCGCCTCGACGGCAGACTGGGCGCCGGCTCCTCGCACTCCGCCCGTCGCTCGGCGGCGCGCGCCGCGGGAGGGAGGGCCGCGAGGGGATGGGCCTGCGTGGCTTCCCGGGATCTCGTCGTGGGCAATCACGGCGGTCGGGGGCGGACAAGAGGGGGGTGATGACTAAGGGGGGGTGGCTATCCCGGCGTGGGCCATGATATTTCCCCAGATTTCATGGCGCCCCTTTTTATTTCTTTACGTCCCTGGCCCCCCCCGCTGGGCCGCGCACATGCCGCAGGTCATGATTTGCACCCCCCCCCTCTCGGACACCCCCCTCTTGGCCGCTCCCGAGACGGGATGGTGCTCGCCGTCTCCGGCGTCGGGGGGCCCCGACCGCGCCCCCATGGACTTGCAAACGTCGGTCCGGGTGGAGAGCCCATGCCGGCGGAGGGGTCCAGACCTTGGGGGGTCGACGCTGTGAGAACTTGCGACGTCGGAGTCGTGGGGGGGCCCTCCCACCTTTGAGAGAAGTGTTGGGGCCTTCTCAGAGCCACGGAGGGCTCCTCGGAAGGCGCGAGGGTTTCTGAAGCTCTACCGCCTTTTTAAAGAAGGCATTGCCTCCTCTTACTTTCCGCGTTTCGTGTGCTCCTGAGGGTTTTCCGCCCTCCCACGTTCCGCCATGTGCTGTACCTTCGCCTCTGCCCACAGTCGCCTGATCGCGCACCGTTTCGGCTGGATTTGGAACAAGTGTTTGTGTGTTGGTGTGTGTGTGTGTGTGCGTACGCGCACTTTTTTTGACCAGCTCGAGAAGGTCGCCCCGTAGCTTGGGATAAAGAAGAGAGCAGCAGGTCGGGCGAAGAGAACTATGCACATGCACCGATCCTGGCAAGGCCCATCCTTGACCCAGGATCGGTGCACATGCCTTCCTGGCCAAGGTGGGAGGGCGTATGCACCGATCCTAGGCTCAGGATGGGCATGGCCAGAATCTGTGTATGTGCATCGTGTCTTTCCTCTAGCAGGGGGATGAGGAAGAAGAGGAGAAGCGGCAACAGCACACACCTCACTGCAACTGCTCAGCACGATCATCTGTGACGCTCCTGCGCGCTCTTTCCCTGTGCCGTTTTTGGATGACCTGGGCGCCTCGGTCTGCGGGCGCACGTTGCAGTGCCCGGTGCGCACGGCAAGCGAGCCCTGCGGATTCTCCCGGATGCCACCTGGAATACACGCCGGTCGCTGAAAGTAGGTATTTTTGGATTCCCAGATCCCAATCTACTTCAAGCGCCTTCCTACTTCAAGAATCGGCACGCTTTTGCCGTGTTCTGTTATTCCCTGGGGGGGCCTGGACCCAATCGGCTTAATCCGCCTTCCTACTTCATGTTTTTACCTATTTCTTCCTGCCGACGTGTACGTACCACGGTGACCACGGCCGAGGCCTAGCGACAGACAGAGACCGGGTGTGGCATGGCGGAGCGCAGAGGGGGGTAGGGGGAGGGGGTCCCACGCCCTCTAAGAAGCAGCCTCCTTCTAAGAAGCCTTCCCCCCTCGCCTACCCCTCCCCTGCGCGCCGCCAAGAGACGGGGAAGAGGGGGGTGTCAATGCTGCTGCTGGAGCCTTCTGGCAGTCAGGGCGCCTCTGGCGACCTGCGGGGACCCCTCCTTCCCCCTCGCCTGAGACTCGTCGCATACCACCAGGCCCGTTGGCGGGTTGCCAGGCATTTCGCAGGAGTCTTCCCCATGTTGTATGATCTTGAAGCTTGACAGTGCCCAA